CACTTTTCCCCGGAGTTTTTTCCCCGGAAATTTTTTTTCTCCGGAATTTGCGGGGTCTCGGCCTTTTCGACATAGAAAATATTCTGGAAACAACAAAATGCAAATGAAAATTGAGAAAGTCTTCGGTCCATATCAAGTATTTATTGCTGAATAGAAATGAGAACTAATAAATTGCAACTATTAGCGAATGGGTTAGATTGGAATAATTTAGGTAAGACAACAGCGTGATACTGAGTGTGAAAAAATTCCGAAAAAAGGCAATAATAGTACATAGGGTTTCAAAAACAGTGGGTGAAGTATCATTTGGAGGATGTAATGATCTCAGGGAGAAGAAAAACGATTCTACGAAATGTTAGTAAAACGGGGAAGATGGGGATGTGTAGTTTGGCATTGGGAAATGGAAAAAAGAGATGATACCGAAAAAAAACCTAAAACCGGAGGATCTAAAAAGTAAATGTATCTCGTATTGACTACACCAAACAAAAGAAAACAGAATTTAAAATTTTGAAAACGCATGAACATGATGGTTCTACCCTGAGTAGATTGGAGCATAAATCGAAAAAAAATAGTTGGGAAAGGTTCACACACAATAGACAAACTTTCAGAGAAAATGAGGAGAACAAATGGGAAGAATAACAACTATGAAACGAATAAAAGAGAAAGGAATTGAAAAATTACAACTAGAAAATGGCACTTTTGTAGTTTACTTCTTTGCTGATTTAAGCAGAGTAGACGGCGATGATGTGGACGAAGAGCTGCGTTCGGGAGTTGGTTCTGAATGTCCACTAGTACGTGGACGTGAATGAGCTCGAGAAGATGCAGAGGACGCTGGACGCGATGCAGTTGTTTGGCGGGAAGAAGACGGGCGAGATGAGCCAGGAATAGGACGAAGACGCCTTGGATAATCGAAAGCGTCGGCATCTCCTTCCATGAATGATTTGGCAGGGAACTGAAATAATTTAATCTTTCATGAAGTCGAAGGGAGCACAAAAAGTTTTCTTACCGGATTATGAGTCTTCAGATAGAATGCGAGGGCCTTGTAGAGAAATTGATATTGTTGTTCCGTCTGCACAAGACCTGACCGATAAGTTCTGACATACTTGACCATTTTGAACACATCCATCGGGCACAAAAGTCCCACTTTCTTGACTTGAGTCAAAAGTGCATCTAACACAAGAACGGTTCCAGTTCTTCCTATTCCAGCGCTACAATGAACCACGATTGGTCCTTGTGGTAGAGTAGCAGTGATCGGTTGTGCATTGAAGTAATCATATTCACGATCGACGTCTTCTAGGAAGTTGAGGACGGCATACGGATGCAATGGACAACCATGATCCGGCCATGTCAGATACTGCAATTGTCGAACTTCTCGAACTTCTTTTCCTTTCTTGATCAAGAGTGTACGCAGTATGTGACTAACGCCTTCCGCATTGAGCTCTGCCTCTGGTACTAATCCTTTTCCAATTCTAATCGCTCTCTCTTTCTCCAACTCGACTTTCACCTCTTCAGTCACAAGTCTTTGAACTTTTCTCTCGATAGTGCAAGTTACAGTAATCTCCCCGTTTTTCATTTCCTTGTTTACTTCTGTTGGCCAATATCTCGCACATTTCTCTTTCCGCTCATTCTCCATAGTTGGCATAACGATGACTCGAGAGTTCTCTTGCCAAACCATTTTCCAGAAATCGACAATAGTGGAATCCAGACATCCTTGAGTGGCGATAAATGATTTTTCACAAGCGAAAGTGACATTCTTCGTTCGCTGACTGTTTTCAAACCTGACATAACTAGCATTGATATAATCACTTCCAGGAGTTTCCTTTTTATCATTTGGTCCTGGTTGGAGAATCACTCGAGTATGATCAAAAGGAACAATATTTTTGTAACGATTTTTATCGGCATTGACAGGTCTACGTCCTTCTCTCTTGGACAAATATTGCTCAGCTGGAAGAGCTTCTTGTGAAAGGCGCTGAAAAAAAACAACTTTTAAAAATACAACAAATTCCTCTTCTCTTACATCAAATTCTTCAGAAATCCCCGTCTTTTCCATCGATTCCCTTGGATTTAGTGGCCGTCGGACAATTTCGAAACGGTCACAAAATAGATCTGCTTCGATGAACGTGTTGAAAAGTGGCTGTAAAATTGAAATTCACAAATTTGAAAAGGTTTTTTCGACTCACCTCTTCCAAGTACAAAACTCTACTTGCTTCTCCTTTCTCCACAATGGGATTTTTAGAGTAGGAATCGATGAGTATCCAGGCTGTGTTGAATTTGGCACGATCTCCGTCAATGTTGTATTTTCCGGTTAAATGATCTTGATAGATGGTCAAATGAACCACATGTCCTTCGGTTTTTGCAGATATAACCATAGCACCAGGAATGTGTTGACTAGCTCGCAGCAAATAAGTTCCGTTCTTCTCATTCTGAAGCAATTTGTTGGCACTGCTTGCTGGTAAGTTTCCATGCCACCATCGATAAAGTTGCGTACGCCGTTGCTCTTCGGCTAACGGCTCCAGTTGATACGGCACGTGTACAGGTTTTTTGAGCTCAAGAAAGAGGCCATTCTTCTCACGAAGCTTTTCCGGAAACTCCATGTAAAACTCGAGAAGTTCAGTAATTGAACTGAACTCATTAGGAGTTGTCCGTTGATCGTCGAAAATGCTGAGCATATCATTTTCAAACTTCATCACCTTGATATGAAGGATCTTGTTTTCCGAAACTCTGAAACCATCAAACTTGGTAATCAGTACAATTAAATCTTTCATACCTGACGGAAATCGAGAAATTCTGCGGGTTCGACTCGCTGTATCGCACCAGAAAGTCTCCATTGTCTCCGTAATCCTTTAGTAATTGCTCGGCCTTCTCGCCATTGACACGGTAATAGTAATTATATTGTCTGAAATTGCGCACTTGAGTTTTATGTGATGATGTGCGATGAATTACCGCAGCGCTAGGCGTGGCATTTGCTTGATGAGAAGCAGTCAGAGGTGAAAGAGTTCGATAGCTGTTCGTGTGGAAGATATGCCTAAAAATTTACTTCTTTGTTGACAATCATGCATTTATAAGAGATTACTACAAGCACAATAACAATCGATACAATTAAATTTTTTTTATCGAAAGAGGAAGAAGCACGTGTAGAAATATGGATTATTTTAAGAGAGAATGAAGAAGCTTCTTGGCTGAAAGTCGGCATGTGAATATTCGGATTTAGTACGATGCTCCGAAATAACGGGCTGCGCTTTGTTTAGTGGCGCCAAGGCGCCGAGAATTTGTCCGCGCAAAAGTGCATGACGGCAGCTTTGAGATCGAATCGCGGTCTTTTTCCAAATTTTTTTTATTCGAACAAAAAGGCAAGAACACTTCAAATACCAAAACTTCTAATAGAAAATACAACCTTACTAGTAAATTAAGTGTAACCTACATCAAAGAAGACAAGATGATACATCAAATATGCAAGAAAAAAGAGAAAATCGAGAGAGAAAAGAGAAGATAAATCACATGATATGAAAATCCGGATTAGACGTGTCGCGAGAAATCGATTCGGTCGTCGCCGAGAATTTTGCGGAATTCACGATTTAGAAGTTCGTCGAGGTTCTCTCCGTCGTGCGAATACTTCCAACTGTAAATGTGTTCAGACTTTTTTTTGTTGGTTCTTATTTTCCGCCCTCGTCTTGCACTTTGCGTAATGAGACACTCATCTCTTTTTTTTCTAATCTCATTTTTCTTCTGGTCTGCAAACGGATACATACAAATCTTCTAGATTTTTTCTTTTTTATGAATGCGAAACCTCTCGTTTAGTGATCATAGGGATCACATTTAGTCTGGCACGAATTTTGAACATTTGAACGAAACAACTCGTTATCAGAAGACACAAGAGTTCAAAATTCCAACAAACGAACCTTTGCTCTTCTGCTAAATCATATCTTTTGGGACCAGACAGTGGACTTGACAGCCAAATTTGCTTGTTTGGAGATTGTTTGTTAATTACATAGGTTCCTAGAAAAAGAAGACGTTCAAAGTTGGCAGCTACCTCCATTCTTACCGACAGTTTTCGAAACAGTCACAGTGAGAACTCCCATTGCATGTGAAACATCAAACTGATCAGACACTGGATAAGAATCAGCAATTTGATCAAAGTAATCAGACAATTTTTCTAAAGTTGAATCTGCAGCTGACTCATACTCATTCTGACTGAAAACTCTGACTGAAAACGCCCGACGCACAAAACCATTACGCAGAACATTTGTTAGCATCTGAACTTTCTTGAACTATCTTTGATATTGTGTGAAGCGAAATGATAATATTGGGGGTATCTCTGAAACCTGGTGGGGAAATATAAAAGAGAAAAAAGCAAAGAAATTTATGAAGTGTGCAATAAAACACTTATTACAGAGGCGCTGGTAGTCCAGAAATAAAGCTACCCGTAATATTTGATGATTAGGATGAAGAGAAAAAAAGAGACAGATAAGAAGATAACTGATTGAAGAATGATGTGACCCGGCGTTTGAAGATTCAGATGATGTGGTGGTGAGGGTTGGGACGAGTTGATAACTTTTTTGGGAACAGAATCACAGAAAACAATGAGCGATGTGTTTTGGTAAGAGATAAAAAGTGAAAAGAGGCGAGTATCAAATTGGACCATCAACTATTTTGTGGCTGAATCCGACCACCCCATGTCAAATGGAATACATTGTTCCTCCATCGAATCGTTGGTTCCAAAAGTGCTTTAATAAATACAAGTGGCGCGGAGAGCTCTCGGAGCAACCAGATGAGCAGGAATTTTCCGGCTGAGAATCCTAGACTTCCGTTCTGAAATAAAAATGTGTTATTTTCTAAAATCTCAAAGTTGATCTACCTGCATACTGGTCATTAGTGAGTAGTCCATACTAATCCAGTAAATGGTATGGAGTATCAGAGTGGTTGTCACATTGAAACCAAGCAAATATTTGAGACTAAATGCCATAATAAGACCAGACGGGAAGCAATCCTGAAGTAAATATTTCATTTTTAATGCATGCATAAATGTTTAGAATTACCTGTAGCGGCTCGACAAGTATTATATGTGGGAGCATGGCAATTCTGAGCTTGACCCATCTGCATATCCTATCGAGGAACGATGAAATCGAGACAGAAGATGAGTTTTGTAGAGCAGGATGTGTGGAAATTGCTGACTTATATCCACGGTTAGCTAATTCTCTTCCAAAGAAATAGTCTTCAGCGAGATATCCTCCAAAGTTAGCGATTCCACCGCACTCATCTAAAGCCTCCTTTTTCATCATTGATGACATTCCCGTAGAGCAAACAAAGTCCATGCAGTTTCCAGCAAGATAAATCCTTCCGTGAGACGTTCCAAAGTAAAGTTGCTCAAATGCAGCATCGAAACTATCTCGATCCTTGCAATACGGGGCTTGTGTCACCAACGCCATCTTCTCATGACTCATCATGGTAGTTGCCATATCGAGAACTCCATCTGGGCGCATGAAAATTCCACTGTCGCTGACTAAAACTAGCGGGTAGCGAGCAGCTCGATATGCTGGCATCATGTTGTTAATTTTAGGATTCAGACCAACGTTCTCTCCTTCTGAAAACAGTCATCTATTTCTTTTTAAAGTAATATACGAAGAAAACTGACTGAAGAACATTTTGGCGTCGATGTCTGGATATTTGTTCATAAGACTTCTCACAACATCTACAGCCTCATCATTACTAGAATGGAAGCAAAACAGGAGTTCGAATTTATGATATTGAGTTGTGAAGAATGATTCGAGGTTTTGATAAAGATTTTTGTCTGTTCCAACTATGGGTTTTATCACTGAAACTCCGGGTAGTGAAGAATTAGGATTGACTTGGTGATGTAACCGGTACTTTCTGAATTCAGAAATTTCTTGAACGATATTGAATTTTAATAAAACTTACGAGTACGACAGTGCAATGATGTGTATCAGATAAAGACAAAAAACAAAGACGAAGCCAACGATGGCTGCAACTGTAGTGACATCCAAATGAGCGGCCATCCGCCTAGTACTGGCTATAAATGCAGGTGGTGGCTGTAGTCGGATCAATTGGCGGAACGGCAGCTCCAGCAATAAGAATGATGAGGAGCTGGATGTGGAGGCTGACGGCTGTGCCTCGGCCACTGCTGCTGCCGCCGCACCAATTATGGACGATGCTGATGACGCCACGGCTGAAATACAAAACGATACGAATTTTCAGAGATTTCAAATTCAAAGTGACGATTATTCAGAACAAATTCTAACATTTGTCAAACACTGAGAAATGAGGTCAAGTTCTTGTTAATGATTGCTAATAACACAAACTCACGCTTTAGAGAAAATTTGAAAAGATAGGTGAAAAACCAAATTTTTCGGCGCAAATACTGAATGACAGAAATGAGGTTTTTTCTTTGATTGATCAATGTATGCATATCAACTTATCAGGCGTTTCATGGGTAAGAAGAAAAAGGGAAAGGAGAGTTGAGACACGTTGAAGAAGAGCAAAAAAGGAGTTGTGGAAGAATATCGGACGTTCTATGTGTATGTTCTTCCAAAACGAACATAGATAAGAAAAATCATTCTTCTCTCCTTGTATCTATTTCTTCTTCTTCTTCTTCTTCTTTATTACTTTCTGCCATAGTTCGGTTTTTTGTTGTATTTACACACTTGCACTGAAAAGGCGCTAACGACAACTTTGACAACATTTTTCTAAGTTAGACTATCACATGAAAAAGTTTTGTACGGGGCAAAAGAAGGGGACTGGAACAATAAACCTCTTGTATTATTGATTTATACTGACGACGAAGAAGAAGAGAGGAGCTGTTAACAAGAACTATAAAATATGATGAAACTGATAATGATAACTATGCGTTGTCGATTATTCGAGGATCAAAAATGATAAGGAGACTGCTCCGCAAGTTTAAAATCAGGAGAGTTGTTGGAGCGGTCATTATCAAAAATGACTCGTCGGATTCTGATAGTTTTCAAACTTTAGAGTCTAAAGTTTAGACTTCCACCTCAATTTCTTCAAAAAAAGATCAAAACATCGATAACTAGGAAGATACCCATCTAACCTTAATTCAGAATAGGGTGATCGTTTTGAAAGAGATATCCTGACCATAAATTGGAAATCTACGATTTGAGACAATGTTTACTGACTCCTCATAATAACAACATAATCAAGTTGCTTTGCGGGAAATTCAATAAGAGCTCAATGAGAGACAAAGAGAGAGAAAACACAAACAAGCTTGTTTCAACGTAAAACGAAAATCCAATGCTGATCTAACAAACTTTCAAAAGTTTTTGAAAATTCAGAATGATGAACAATTAAAAAAAAAAGGTCTCGGAAAAAGTGATGATTGGCAAGACTAGTTACCCTGAATGCCTTTTGTTTTGACGGGGGACCGATTAACGGTACAAAAATAGAGAAGAGCGGAATGGTTTATGCAATAGATGCAAAGAATTATAGTTTTTGGAACTATTTCAGCTGTGGCGAAGCGAAGGAAAAAAGTTACTGAAAACCGTAGTTTAAAAAATCTGATAGACTAGATAGAAACATGAAAGAAATAGTAAAAAAGAAAAGTGAAAATGGTCAGTGAAACCAGTTATTTTCGGAGGGCGGCGAGCGAGACATGAAAAGCTGGCATGAAAAGGTTTTTCTCGAGTGAGAGAGCTTCCTCTTCTTGTCGAGTTAATTCATAAAACTACAATATTTGTGTGTTATTTTTTGCTTATTTTCTCACATATTGTTTTAGTTCCAAAATTTGAAAAAGAAGGTGTTTTGTTTTTCTATTTTTCAAAGTGTCGCTATTCTGCCGCTTCGTCGAACTCTCTGAATCTATCGCATTGTTTCTATTGCAGCTTAGCAACGAGAAGCTGAGGCCGTATGCAAAAAAGTGGAAAACCATTTTCCGGTTTTTAGAAAATCGTTTTCCGAAAGTCTGGAAAGGATTTTCACCGTGCTTTTATTAATTTTTAGTCATTTTTTAGCCCAGAATCCAATTTAAATTGGGAAAAAAATATTTAAAGACTTTCAGAAAACCGTTTTCCAAACATCGGAAAATGGTTTTCCACTTTCTTGCATACGGCCTCTGGACCAACGGGAATCGAGAAAAATGGGGAACATAAACTCACTTCTAAGTACAGTCGTGTTGCTCAGATCCGTGGCCACTGCTCTTGCCGCTTCCATCGAATGAAAACAAATACAATTTGGGGATTAAATGATTCAAGGTCGATCTGAAAATTGAGAAAATTAAACAACTGGAATTCTTGAATTTTTTTTTTCAATTTCAAGCACTTAAAGAAAGCATCAACTATATAAATTTCGAAACTCCTAAAATTAACAAAACGGAGAAAACTGGAAGAAGTAATATATAAGGAGGGAAAGGCATACATGAATCAGAGTTTTCTCTGCGTCTCTCAACGCGATAACGATTTCTAAGCTTCTCCTCTTTCTATTCTCTCTTCATCGTATTATAATTTTTGGGGTTGGAAAACATATAGTTAGTGCTGCGTAACTGACAAGAGGAAAACCACGCCACCACCTTCTTTAGTGGAGAATTTTGATAACAGAAAAGGGGGTCTTTTTAAAAAGAGCAAAAAGAGGGGAGGGGTGGAGTGAAACACAAAAATTCTTCTATGGAAACGTTGAGAGAGAAGTGAAGATGAAGGAAAAACAGAGAAGAATCAAAGTGAAAAGAGCAAATATAGTAGATATGTAAACAATTTGGAATAGGAGGGAAGAAGAGGGAAAAGAAGAGAAAATACGGTCGTGAATCACGCATCATAAGGCATTTCACCGAACAACAACACAGACTGCGCAGGAGAGCTCAGAAGTGGAATAAGGTGCATAGACAAGCATGTTGATATTGGCAACATTGAATACATATCTTTTTAAAAGAGCACTTTTGTGACATTTTTATGACTTCATGCTCCGCAGCTAGCAGCCTAACTCGTCCCAAGCTTCAATATCTACTTTCCAGTACACCTGAGTCAGAAAAATGTCACAAAGTTTTTAAAACTGCAATTTCTATGCATGTAAATATTGAAAAAAAGGGATACAACCTAGGCAAATCTGAGGAACTATGGTAAAAGTATTCAACACAATTTCAGATAAAGGAGGTTCCGTTTTACAGGACCCATAAATATCTAGAAGATTCTTTCTGGCGACTGGAATAATTTCGAAGTTGATAAGGTTGTTTAAACTTAGGAATCTTTTATATATACTCTTCGCTTCTCCAGAATATTCATTGTGTCATGTTTTCCATCTCGTGAGTCATATCAAAAACATTGATTAGAGCAGAAATCACGAAAAGATGTGATTTAATATAAGAGGGTTTAGATAGGCAAACAGACATGACGTGGCAAAGGGGACACTATTTGGAGTTTGATTTGTAAAGAGCAGCTACTACATACAAACTACAAAACCCGAATCATTTTGTTCAAAATATTTTCAAGCTCTTACCTTTCTACTAAAACTTCTACTCGCAGTATCCAACTTCCCTCTCATGCGTTCTTTCTAGATCTGTTGAGAAATAAAGATTTTTTAATAAATGTTTATGGTTCGAAAAGTGACAAGAACATATATTTTTATTTAACTGATGACCGACAGTTTTGAGGGTTCCTAGACGGCGAAAAATGTTCGTAAAACTTTCTTTATATCAAAATTACATAAAATAAATAGACATCAGAGAGCACCCCAGTTGCTGTAAACTGGGTTATTGGGGAAAAAATACTCTTTTTGGGATAGAAATTCGGAAATCGGTGTGTTAAGTGCACAAGGATAATAAATATCAATCTTCAGCGCCATTTACATATAAAATCATTTCAGTAGTTGTAAATCACTTACAATGAATCAGTAAATAAACATGATATGGCAAGGTGGGTGCACAGAAAGTGTATATAATCTATATATAAATATTATTGAAAAACCGGAAAACAAGGGGCTATTTTTTGACGAGAAAATGGGGGAATCTAATCACAAATGCGTCGAGACATCTTCAATGAAAATCTATCACAAATTTAGAATGTACTGAGGGGCGAAGTTTACGAAAGGGGAAAAGAATAATTGCATATTCAGTAATAAAGGCATATGTTTTTAGAGCCCTTCATTTTCAGACGGAGGTTGTGGAAGATCGGGCTCTGTCCGTGGAGAGGCCACTTGAGAAGCGGCCACATCAATCTTAGCAAGTTGCAACCGGTGAATCGTTTCTCCAAGTTGCTTCTCTAGATTATCAGCTTCAGCAGAGACGTCCAGTTGAACAGCATTATCTTGGGTTCGAGAGATCAGTTCTTCAATGTGATCTACGTTGATCTGAAAACAAAATATACAATAAATTATCCATTGTAATGTTTCGATTACCTCAGCGCATTTATCTTCGTAATAATAGATATAGGCCGAAAGAAGTTGAATGAACAATTGTTGTTGAACTAACGGCTCCAAACATTCTCTGGCAATTTTTGCAGATTTCCTTAGAATATCGACCACTTTCTTTCCGTTCCTCATCTTATCGCCATTGGTTTCTAGTGTTTCCCCATGCCAATAAAGGGAAGCAACTGTGACAAGAGACCTCACTTGGTCTGGCTTTTTAAACATTTTCGCAGCAGCAAGAACTGTTTGATTGGCCAGCGGTTGCCAGTTTTCTTCTGGTAAATGCGTTGTTTTCAGAAGAGTTCCCACTGTCAATTGAAGACATCTAACACGATCTCGCGAATCGACAACATCGTCTTCGAGAATGGACAATGCTTTCGAAACAAACTCGTACACAACGGTATGATTGTCTTCGAACAAAACACGGTCTGCTGTGATAGCTCCCTGAAAAATTTTTAGGTCTACAAATTGAATTATAACTAAAATACTCACATTAAGATACAGTTTCATAGGCAATTCAGCCAGTTCAGCTGTGGAAACAAGAGCACCGATCGTTCCCATGGCACAAACAAACATTTTTCTGATCTTCACATCCCACTTCTCATCTTCATCTTTCATATCAGCGAATTGCAATACCAAACGGTACAGTTCGAAAATGATTGGTGGAAGTGTGTAACGAAGGCGATGACGACCACCTTCTCCAAGAACTTTCCGCGCACTGTTGAGAAGCTGAAAGTGGGCATGATCTTATGATAAGAATCTAGTAAGCATCAGAGATGTCCGGAATGACTTTTTCGAGAAACTTAATCTGGAATGAATCAATTTTCTCGGAAACTGGACTGAATTAAATTCGCTGAATGAAGAAAGGACGGAATCCGGACATCTCGACAAGCATCGAAAACTAATATGAACTGAATGCGAAAACACTAACCAAAAACTGTGAATCAACGTCATCTGCTCTAATCAGGTGAAGTAGTCTCGCCACCAAATTCTGTTCGTCTGCGAACTCTTCAGTTTCATGGGAGCTCTCCGGTTGTTTCTCTTGATCTTTGAGTAATGCTGATATAAGCGAGAAAGCTGCATCAACATCCTCCTGATGGCGCAGAATCGTTTCTTGTTCCAACATATTTTGCACCATATACGCAGCGATATTGCACTGGCCACGATAATCAAAATAGTTCATGACTTTGATGTATTCTGGGAGCTCAGAAAGACGCAATACATTTTTATACTCATCTATCGGTATGTTCAGGAGCTTTGTGAGCTCTCTTCCGACTTTACCGAAAGCTTCGATGCTGAAGTAATTTTGATAATGTTAGTATTGTCAACTTGACTTACTCTGTGATTCCCTTTTCTTCGATCACTTGTCTCAAACCGAGGAAAGTCATGTTTGCATAATCCAGACGATCCGGGTAACACTTCACAGCAAGGGAAACTAGGGAAACATGAAGAGCAACGATATCATCCATAGGCATATCAGGCCGGTTTTTAATCAGATTTGTCGCTTGCTCGCTAAATATTTCGAACAACTGCATTTTGGTTGGGGCAGGCTGTCCTTCGATAGACGAATTTGTGTAGAGAGCAAGGCGATCGACAAGAGCGATAAGAAGTATCTTGATGTTAACCTCTTGTTGCAGTTGTCCGCAAGCGTTCAAAAACTCGTTCAGCGTTGCCAGGTGGAAGTCATCCGCAAAAACTTGAATAACACACTCCATCAAATATTCTTGAGAAATAGTGTCTCGGCAAGAAACAATTTGCTCCAAAATGCTAGGCAGAACATCTCTGACATACATTTCTTCAGTGAGCGCTTCCAACTGAGCAAGACGAACGAGGTTCGTCCCAACGAGAATTCTCAGCTCCAGTCTGTCCTTCTCACGTTTCTCTTTTTCTTTCGACGGACCTTGATGTTGCATCCGAACCCACAGTTTGTTCATCTCGCCAAAGTTTATCAGAACAAAATCGATTGTGTCTTCAACAGTTCCATCTCTTGGTTTTAGCTGGGGTGTTCCTTTTGGAAGAGTACTGTTGTGAGATAAAAGCATTTCTTCTGTTTCCGGGAAATCCGGCAGAACTGATCGAGTGCACTGCATCAAGTAGTTGCGCAGAAAAAGACCACGAAGTGGATGTTGAACACCGCGACACATTTCCACAAGATCTTTCAGAATCTCTTTGCGTGATCCGAGGCCACATTTGATAAAGACGCCACCAATGGTTACAAGAAGGTACCTGGAACAGGAAAATCATACCTTTTTCAGGAAAAAAGCATAAAAAATTCAGGAAACTTACAATCTTGGGATGATAGCGGAAGCATATTGAACGCACTCGTAAAGATTACTCAATTTGGATGGTTCTTGAGCAAACTCTTGTATAAGATTCACTTCCAGGCATTGCAATTCGTGCATTGTGTCCATATCTGGCAATATCCGATTTTATAAATAGAATGAGAGATAGCGGGTAACTCACATAGACGATAGTAGAACTTTGGAGATAATTCTGAAGTTCTCATCTCATTGAGCATCTGTAGCGCATGTTTTAACGCGTCCATAGTTTTGCCCTGCAAAACAAAACATCGTTCAAACTAATAAATTGAGTTTAAACAAATTACCTTGTCGAGACATCGTTTCATCTCGAACGATTCGGCTTTAACCACACGAATCGACTGGTCCAGAAACTTTTCCTGGTCGGTCGCATTGCCCGGATTATCGTACATTCCGAACTGTAAGACTGCTAATAAAATCAAAAGAACGAAAGGTTCTGTGAGTCATTAAATTATGAAAACATCGTGCAATTGTATCAGAGGGAACTTGCATTGAAACTAAACATTCTCTGGCGAAACAAAATCTTTCGTTCGAGTGCGATAGAGCGCAACTGCGCTGGAGAAATTTGACCTCGGAGACCCCGGAAATTCCGGGGAAAAAAAACTCCGGGGAAAAAAAAACTCCAAAGTGGGCGGAGTTTTTTTCCCCGGAATTTGCGGGGTCTCTGACCTCGCGAGGAAAAGCAAAAAAAAACAACAGAATTCTCTTGCACTCAGGCGATTTTTTATTATATTTCGAGTTGACGACACATAGATTAAACATATAAATAAAACTTTTGAACAGCAAGTTGTTTTGCTTCTCGACGATTGCGACTACCCGGAATCTGAAAAGTACAAATATGAGACGTCGGGATGTTTACAACTTACTTAGGGCTACATAAAAAGCTATATTCGCGAACTTCGGGAATCGGTAGCGACGCTCGTCCGCACTTCATAATGCCCTTCGTGAAGCCATCGAATCACTACTTTCTTGATAATCTCGAGAGAACCATCTCTACTGTTATCTAAAAACTTTATGTTCTGAATGGATTTCTAAACAGCCAGTATACCACAATGTTCACTATCCGGCTCGTACAATAATGTGTCTTTGCAGTACCTGTCGAGCTTCTCAAATCGGTCTGAATCAGCTATTCAACGAATTGAAACACTCGCCAGCATATCATCTTACCAGGGGAACAGTTTACATAATATGTCTGAGACATGTTGGCGGGCAAATGAATCGACTTTTCTTCTCTTACGCTTCCGATCTTTATATCCGTGCTTCGAGAGGAGTACTTCTTCGTCGTAATCAATGAAATCTCGAGCATTTCTGAACAGAACGATGAATTAACGTTAAGAGTTCGATGTTCACCTGGTCCTGTTTTCTCTTCAACTTTTTCATTACGATCACAACTCGGCGATTCACTTTGAGTTCTCAGTGGAGTCTTTCGATCATTTTCGCGAAGTTCGACACTTGGCGGTTTCACAGGCGGCCCCCAATCCTCTCGGGTATCTGTCGGCTGCCACCAGCTTTCATTTTCAGGGAACGTCTGAGAAGAAATTCTTCATCATGTTCAGTGAAACTTACACACCTCCTGGGCAGACGATCCTGGCTCATCAACGAAGCCCTGTCCTGCATCACTGAATCGTCCCAGCGTTCCCTGTGGCCTTGCCTGACATCGTTTCCCCGAGTCCATTCCGCCGACTGTCGCGAGTCTGTGAGTTCATTAATAGAGAGGTATTTCCAATTGTATAAATTTGTTGCAAAAAAGACATTTGAAAACATTTCCCGACCTAAAAAACAAATAAGAAAAAGAAGATGAAACATGTTTTTTCGGGCTGTGCAAAACCGTTTTGATAAATTAAAGGCGCATAGTGACACGCGGTGGAATTGAAGCGAACAACAGTACAGTTGTTATGTGGATTTACGGAGTCTGCTCCGATTGATAATTCTGTGAATTCTCATAAATATTCGTGTTCAACATTTATTATCGATAAATAGACAGTTAAAAATATTGACGTTGTCATTTTTTCTTCGGTTTTGCAACTGACTTCCGTTGCTTCTGATTTTTGGCATTTGTCGCTGGTTTCTTTCCCTTCGTGTTCTTCGTTTTCGATGTGCCCTTCGATTTCTTGGCTGGTTTTCGATTTTTTGCAGTCTTCTTTTTTGGAGCTTTCGGTTTTGCCTTACTCTTTTTTGGTTTTGGTACGCCGCCTGGTTTCTCGCAGATTTTCTTTACTGCTCCCGTGTCCGAATCGTAAACCAGAACCTCGTCATCAGAAACGGCGGGTGATTTTTCGAGCTCATTGTCCTCAGAAGGAACAACATCAGCAACCGAAGCGACCTGTTTTTCCGCTGCTCCTTCGCTTATAAGCGACACATTTTTTATCGTACTCGAATTCGTTATCGCAGAACTGTCGGCCGTTTCGGTTGCAAGGTGAGTACCATCTGTTTCGGTGGTAATCGCTTTTGTAGAGGTAAATAAATCAGCTTTATCTTCCCCTACTGGATCTTCTTGTTCCATGTTATCATTCTTCTGGCTGGATGATAATTTTTCCAACTCGTGATCAACTAAGTTGGGATTGAGTTTCTGTAAAAATTCGGGCAACAAAAGTAACACTTATTATAAACCAACTTTTATAAGACTGGCTCGATCGGGTTTCCCAACATCCAACAACCAGGCATAAGAAGAATTTGAATTATCCAGGATCGCCCCATGCAACGTGACACTTGCTGTGATCAAGATTTGTGTCAGCAGCATAGCACAAACATGACATCCCAGAACCAGAATCATGATAAATTCCGTTATGTACTGATTGGGATAGTTCAGAAATAGGTAGGCAATATCCAGTTTCTTGACGCATCCTGAATGATAGATAAATTCTGGCCCCAAAAGTTAACAATTGCTTTACCATCCTTGTTGAACCATTTCTCAGTTATATTCATCGTGTCCCATCCATCATGAAGAAGCTGTGTTTTTTGAGAGCACAAGATCGATTTGCAGCAACTCAATGGTACCCCGCAGTATTCCCATTCATTGCATGGCCAAAGTTTTGTTTGGGTTGGCAGCCTCTTGTCGATTTCGGACAAATCCACAAAGTCGTCAATTGATTTGACTCCGCAACATGAATATTCCGACTGAAATTAGCTAAACAACCAACATTGCTAAAATAAGAACTAACATGAATACGATCGATAAGTTGACGATGACTTCTCGATTCTCCATACATGGAATAGCTCTGAATTTGCATCAATGGATTTATATACACTTTAAAAAATATTATATTATGGTCTAATTCCTCAAAAAATTTGGCCCCTTTGATCACTCACACTCATCAAAAGATTGGTCATTTTAGTATCAAATTCTGCTGATATTCGAAGGGATAGTGTGTAGCTCAAGACACACAGAATGAATGAAACGAAAGTGAGGTAAATGGGTAACTGAAAGACAAGAATTGACCCATATCCGGAATTATTTCTCTACCGAGTAAGATCTAGAGCCGACGTGGAAATGATCACTTTCTTGGGAGACGGCTACATCTAGAACTATTACCAAAAAAGAAACGGAGAAGATCAAGAGTAGCGAAGAGATAAAGTTGGAGTATAAAAAAAGAGAATCTTCATTCCAAAGCCACTCGGCAACTCCAATATTGTAAAATTCCAAGAGCTTATCGGTTTTTAGTAAAATTTGAGCTGATTCTAGAAGAATTAGAACGCCAATCAAAATTCCACTGCTTATTCCGATAATTTTCCGACAATTTGAAGAAATACGCATCAAACAAACAACCATTTCAAACGAAAAAGTTTATGTCAAAATCAAAGAAAAGAGCCAAATCAAAAGAAACGAAGAAACCACGAAGATTACGCGTAAGATTAAAAATTGAGGTCGGGGCCGTTTTTTTCAGAAAAAGGATCTCGATTGAGTATCTGGAGTACGAGCCACTTTTGGACGGCTCCCAAACACAGCGGTGTAGTCATCAGGGCTGCTGAAAAAAAAGTGATTTCTAAAAACTAAAAGTGATCTTTAATAAAAACTTACCTTGTCGTTTCGACAGTATAAAAGTAGGAAGATAGAACAATCGTTTCATTTGAACCTTTGAAATCACTATTATTATTATTGTTGTTGTTCTTTTCAGATGGAGGTGATCCACGAGATTCTGATGCTGAAAAAATCAGTATTTTTGATCTGGAAAATTTCGGTTAATTTGGTATTATGCAAAAAATAAAAATCCATTTGTGGGGAAGTTCTAATTAAAGTTCCGCTGGCAGCTACTTATCATTTTGGGATGTTCACACTAGTATTTTTCTAGAATTCAGAAAAATATTCTAGAAAAGATTACATTTTTGAAAGTTGTAGTTTTCATGAAGCAGGACTTTATTGTTGTAATTTTTCATTCAAGTTTACCCAATATGCTTATATACCGTATACCCTCATATAGGAGCCCACCCAAATAGACATCTTTGAGCTAAATTATCTCGATTCCTGAAAAAGATATAAAGTTTTTGTCAACTGACAAAACATTAATGGCATTATGATAAACAATTTATCAGTTTATAAAATTTTGATATCTTTCACAGGAATCGTGGTAATTGAGGTCAGTGTGCACGTATACGATGGGCTTGTATTCGAGCTTTGAGATACGGCATGTTCAATTTGAGCTCAATTGACTCTATACCTACAAAAGATATCAAAAATGTGTGAACTGACAAAATATTGGTGATATTATGGTAAACAATTTAGCAGCTGACAAAATTTTCATATTTTTCACATGAACCGAGATAAATGAGCTCAAAGTTGACTGTTTGGGTGGACTTCTATTAGAGCAAGTACGGTAAGTGCTAATTTTATACATTTTGTTCAACACAGTATAAGTAACTTCAAAGAATTTTAGAAACCGTTTTTCGCGATATGAAAAACAATTTAATATTTAAGGTTATGAAGAAGATTCCTTGAAACCTGTAAAAGAATGGCCCCTAAATTTTAACTTTGAGGCAATTTATCTTGGTTCCTGTGAGAGATATAAAAATTTGTCAACTGATGAAATGTTTGTTATAATATCAAAAATGTTTGGTCAGTTGACACATTGTTGATATCTCTTATGAGAATCGAGATAATTCAAAAACTTACGCTTTTTATTCAATGAGAGTCTAGATCCACTTGCTGCCTTTCTTCCCATAAACTTCTCAATCAACGGAGTCGCTGATTCTGATAATTCCTTCTTTAACACAGATGGTGCTTTTCTGGAGGTCAGCTGAATGTGCCTTAACGCTTTCATCTTCTCCTTTTCCACTTTTTCTTTTTCTCTCCTCTTCCTATTCTCCTCATCCTCCTTTTTCTTATTTATCTCATCCTGTACTTTTTTGTATTCCAATGCTCCATCACTCAATCCAATATTTATCATTAAAGGTCTTCTTCGTTCAGTTTCAATCACGAATGTGTGTTGTGAAGTGGCTGTTCCAATCCGCCCATCTCTTCCAGTTCCTTTTCTTCCTCGAGCACTCATTCTCGATCCGATTTCCTCTTTTGTATCTATTAGTTGACCACAACTACCGCCAGCTGTCTCTTTATAGGCCTTTCGGATGAGCAAACGAGCACCGCTGAGCTCGTTGGTCGATGGGCGCAGAGGATCAAGAGAGTCGATTTCTCGTTCACACGAACTTCCGCACTGAAATGATCAAGGTTTCAAAGTGATAAGTCATAACAGATAACGGATAGCTATTTTTCATGAAACTAATCAAGTACTGAATAAATATACTTTTAAGCTCTGTCCATAAGTAAAAAAATTAATCCTCGATATTCCAAAAGTGCAAAAAAAATGATACAATTAATTTGCACTTATACATGTATCTGACTTAACAAGTACCAAGTTTCCAGTGGGAAACGATGTACTTTTATAAAATCAGAAAACCAATCACCTACTGTGAATTCTTCAAATGAAGAATTCCCTATACATGTCCTTTGAGCTCGATTATTTCTATTCCCTTGAATGGCATCAAGAAGTGGTCAACTGGTAAAACGTTGGCAACTTTACGAACAACATTTTATCAGTTGACTAATTGTCTATATCTTTCATAGGAATCGAGATAATTGAGCTCAAAGTCGAAGGTTTGGATGGCACTCTATTTTACTCGAGTGTTTACTGTAGTAGACCATTGCCCACCCAAACCTTCAAGTTTGAGCTCAATTATCTCGATTCCTGTGCGAGTTATCAAAAATTAGACCACAGATAAAATGTTTATCATAATATCAGCAATAATTTATTAGTTGACCAATTTCTGATATCTTTCACAGGAATTGTGATAATCGAGCTCAAAGTGCTCATACCGTTTTTCAAACTGCATATTTAAGCCTGCCCCATACGAGAACTTGGAGCTCAATTTCCTTCAAAATATATCAGAAATTTGCCTACTGATTAAATATGGGTGATATTATGATAAACAATTCATTAGTTGGTGAAGCTGAACATACAAATATTCAAGAGATAAACATTCATCAGAAAACTTCAGGACCAGCTATTACCAGGGAACAACTTAACTCACCTTATCAGTGTCTCCATCGGTTGGTGTTAGTGGAACTCGATTGTAGTCAACTTCTGAAACGAATTATTTGACCCTGTTTCCCCTTTGAGTCTGGAACCTTGAGTCTCGAAGACTGTATCCCCCAAAACCACCAAAAACGTGTCTGCTCAGACCGTCCTGGTACCCGGAGAGCCCAGGCGTGAAGCATGTTCAGAACGCTCACACTTGAGGTCTCAGGGAACAGGCCGAAAGCATCTGATACATATAAACCAACCAAAAATTCTAGTTTTAGGATTTTTTAAAGGATTACTGTAGTTTAGAAATAGGATGGATGGAGTTGGAATGAACCGGTTGCGGTCCGGATGGAAGACTAATAGTTAGAGTGACCGGTGTGAGTCTCTGGGAGCGATTGGGGCGGGATGGATGAACATGGGAGGAGTAGAAGAAGCAGCAAACAAAGAAGGGGAGGAGGATCGAAAGTAGAGAAGTGAAGAGACTGGGTCATTCGGCCGCTTCGTCGTTATTCTTTTTTTTGCTGCCGCGGTCCTTCACCGCGCACTGGGAGAGAGGACAGAGAAGCGGAAAGCAGGCACACGCAGGGAGCACGAAGGGACACGAGCGCGGCGCCCCGCAAGCCTTTCCGTGAGGCTGGCACCACCACCGCTTGGCGACGCGTCCATCGCCGCGACGAGAGAGAATGGCGCTACGCAGAGACGCAGTCAAACGCCTCGGTCCCTTGCAGTACTGGGAAACACTGCGTCTCTTCATCTTCTATTGTCTATCGCTGGGCAGATAGATGTTAAAGGCGACTGTTTCAGGGGGGTAGAATGGGAAAACGAAAGGAGAAGCGGTGAGAAGCGGAGTGCGGAGTGGAAGAAAGGGAAAAGGAAGAGGATTGAAACGAAATAGACACAGAGGTCGTGCAATTTTGATTGTCCCCTGTGCCCATTTCAACTGGACAACCACGGCTGGTACACATATACTCACTCCCTAACATTTTTGAAATTTGTCGTTGTTAGGATGAGGAACAAAAAGAAGTAGAATGATGGGGGGAGTATGAAGCGGAATGAAAAATAGTGGGTGGGAAATGGAAATCCTACAGTAAGTCACCTGGTGAAAAACAGGGAATACCGTATTTCCTCTAATAGAAGCTCACCCAAACCGTAAACTTCGATCTCAACTATCTCGGTTCCTATGAAAGATATCAAAAATTCGTCAACTGGTAAACTGTTCACAATAATATCAAAAATGTTTGAGCAGTTGACCACTTTTTGATATCTTTCACAGAAATCGAGATAACTGAGCTCAATGCGCACGTATAGGGTGGCATTGTATGTGCACTTTGAAATACGGTATGTTCACTTTGAGCTCATTTATCTCAGTCCATAGGAAAGGTATCAAAAATTTGTCAATTAATGAAATATTGGTAATATTATGATAAATAATTTATCAGTTGACAAAGTTTTGATATCTTCCACATGAATCGAGATAATTGAGCTCAGAGTGGACTGTTTCGGTTGACTTTTTAATGAGACAGGTGGCGTACACTATTCGATGTGACAGAAGGAATAATTCTGGAGATGGTTCGCCAATGGCAGTTCTAAATGGCGCGGCGTCCCTAGTCATGCATCTTCTCTGGGTCTCCGAATTTCAAATGCTCTCTAATCAGTCTCTTGGAACACAGTGAACACTCTTCTGACTAAAACTATCGATCTCATTTTCTTGGCAGTCTCATCCAATCCAACAGTTTCTCGTGATTTTTCTATTCACCAGAAATAGACAAATATTTTCGTCCAAAAGAATACCAAAAAGGGATACTGTAGGTGAGAGGCTAATAGGGGAATATATCAAGGCACAGAGGAAAAATAGAAAAAATTGGAAAACAACTGGTTTTAGTTATTTGCTACAGAAGAAAAAAAAATCAAAATACGGAGAAGGCCAACAATGAGAACAGTTCGATTATTATCAAAAAAAAGGCGGAATGGGCAGGACACGGCGTATTGTGGGAGTGTGTTGAAAGTGAAACCACCCGGTTATCACTGTCAGGTATTGTGGAAAAAAGAGAGTTCTCATTTTTGAAATTATTTGGAGGATGGTGCTTTTCTTACCCCAATTGCCCTAAAAACCTATAATAGAACGCCCCTTATCTTTTACTTATGGAGCAATTTGTCTCGGTTCCTGTCAAAAATATATGATAAAGTTGTCAACTAATAAATTGTTTATCATAATATTAGAAGTGTTTTGTCAGTTTCCACCGTTTTGATATCTTGCATAGGAGCCGAGATAACCGAGCTCAAACTTGGTTTTACGGTGTCCTTAATTTTAAATGTTTTTAAATTCTACGAATTTACCAAATATCATGTAATCAGTTATTGTAATCAGTTATTGTAAAATATGATTTTGATTATCCGTTTGAAGTGGTGATTTAGCTTCTCTCCAAGTTTTCGAGCATAGTTATTCTAAAAGTGGCTATGCCACAAAATTGTGCACTATTTAATCTGATGGATCTATTTCTTGAATTCAGGAAATTCTGGTACAATCCCCACAAACTCATATACTTTTTGGAACCATAACTCTACCGTAAACACTCTAATAGAATGACACTGAATACTTACACTTTGAGCTCAATTATCTCGATTCCTGTGAAAGATATCAAAATTTTGTCAACTAATAAAATATTTATCATAATATCAACAACATTTTATCAGTTGACAATATTTTGATATCTCTTACTATTAGAGGAACCGAGATAATTAAACTCAAAGTTGACGGATTGGATAAGCTTCTAATAGAGCCACCCACTCTCTGAAAATTCCTCTCTCTTCCATATTTGTGTTCATTGCGCCGTGACGTGGTGATGGGCAAAATAGCAACATTGGACTTCCTTATAGAGCCGTTTTTTTTCTATATTTGTTTATGTATTTTTTCCCGCACGGATTCCAAATCGAACGCTCAGTTTTTTATGTGCAAACGAGAAAGAGAAATCGTTTCACTTTTCTCTCTCATTCTCCATTTCGTATTGCTCTCGGGCGCCGCGTCCAGGCACCCGCCTGCCCCTCTTTTTTTCGGTAATCCATCACAGAGAAAAGTAGAGAAATGAAGAAGGGCGAAAGTAGTGAAACCAATTGGTCACCTCTCGCAATGGGGGGTTTACTGACCGACTGACCTCAATTTGTGCAACGGAAAGCGAGAGAGAGAGAGAGAGAGTTGGGGAGATACAAACGAAAACGAACAATGAAAACAAACAAGAATGTTTGGGCGCCGCGCCTATTTTTTGGTTTGAAAGAGTCAAAAAGAAGGGAAAAATAGACAAAAAATAGTATCAAATAGTTGACAGAACATGGTTGGATTATGTGTATAGTAAGATGCTTTCGTTTTCTTGGGATCCAGTTTTTCTTCCCATGATGGCATATCTAACCAACTTATCAAATTCTCCCCAAATTTCACTACTTTCCACTCACCTTGATGAACAACTGCGATTAGAAATGGCACATGTAGGTTGCATAGCGGGCATGTTCTTCGTGTCTCCAATCGGATCCGGATCGCTTCCAGAAGTTTCGTATCTTTGGCGCGAAGACGGATTCTCGAGCAGGAAAGAATCGAAAGGAGAAGAGTGTTGTACAGGGAACATGAAGGCTGAAAATAAAAAAAATGTGAGGAAAGTGTCTAGAGAAAAGAGAAGATTGAGAACGTTGGGGATGATTGGCTCACACTCGAAAATTGTTGTGGAATGAGAGGAGTTTCGATTTCTAGTTAAGTTTCTCGAATGGTGTGTCGAAGGGACTGTTGAAGAGAAATACACTCTGCAATGTTTCACAGTATAGGAGTTACTTTGTAAGTTTTGGTGGCCTAGAAACCCCCTATTTTGGGCTATTTTGGGCCAGGTTTTCGAAATTTTAAAGAAACGGACTTTTAATCGAAGTGTGATAGCTATTCCAGGAAAATTTGATGGCCTAGAAACCCGAATTTTGAATTCATAGGCCACAAAACTTATAACCACTGTAACTTGATGGAAAATCAATATTTTTGGAAAACTGTCAGTTTTGTTGTTTTTTCTTGTTTAGTGCTTCAAAGTGAAATGAAATATGGTCTAGAAAACTGCAAATAATTTTTTGGCTTTCAAGTTTCGGCTACAGTAATCTCATTTTGATGAAAACGGAACATAGCATATCCTTTCAACTTTATCATTAACCAACGTGCTCAAATTTCATACTCATTTCGAGATATGAAAGCTTCACTTGTCAGTTTTTAGCTGCAAATTACCGTATTTCCAAAAATAGAATCCCAACCAAACTGTCAACTTTAATCTCAATTAACTCGATTCTTGTAGAAGACAGCAAAATTTTGTAAACTGATAAATTGTTTATCATAATATTACCAACATTTTATCAGTTGACAAAATTCTGCTATCTTTCACAGGAATCGAGATCATTGAGCTCAAACTTTGATTTGACAAAGTTTGGGTTGCTTCTGTTAGAGCAAATACAGTATATTATATTTAAAAAGCAAAGACAGTATATATTTATGGAAACGGCATCACTGGAAAACTTTACAGAAATATTACTCCAAAAAATTTGAAAACAAGATGCTCTCATGTTTGTTGCAACTAATTTTTCTAGTCTATTAGAAGAGGAACTTCCAAGCTCTTACCAGCGAGCCGGTACCACTCACCAATCGAAAAAAAAAACATTTTTATAGAGAAAGACTAGATTTATGGGACCGAGAGAGAAAGGAAACATGAAATGTAGAGGAATTCGTACAACGACTTGTTGGCTCGTGAATAACGAATGAGAAGGAGCGTCGAGGGCGCCGGCTCCTTACACGGCTCCTCATGGCACGAGAGGAACAAGGAGAAGAGGACGAAGCAAAAGAGATACCTAATGAGGAAAACGAAAGAAAAAGAGTGGAAAGTGAAGAGAGGAAAAGCATTTCAGAGCATTTAATTAAAATCTGTGGAGCAGAAAAATCTGGAAAATGTTTCCGAGAACTTACACCATGGGACATTTTCACAACTAGACTGGCAACTGAATTGGCGATAGAATCGGCGAGTCGAGTTATGAGAGGATGGCTTAGAGGCTGAAAACAAATAATTAGATCCATTACAATCTGAATATAAGTTTTACATTTGTGGATAGGTTAACGATAAGTGCTGCAAGGTATTCAAATGCATAATTGTTTAATTTCTGATCTAAATGATTCACTGCCCATTCTAACATTCCGTTTTGAATCAGCTCTTTTTGACAAGTAGCTCTGTAACTTTTTGAATTCGAATGAATGAATCATCAGAAGAAATTACCGTATGCTCATTTTCTGAACACAAGCAATCAGCTGGTCATGGGTAGTAGATGGAAGTCTCTTTCCTCTCAGAACAGCTATCAAGCAAGGAATGAAGGTTTTATGGTGGACTGAAAATTAAGGATGTAAAGCAAATTCAAAGTTCTAAGCAAACCAGTAAAGTAGCTTCGACCGGCTGTATAACTAGCCATCGTATTGATGAGACGAGCCATCTGCTCTCGAGAATCTACACCATCCGCTTGGATGACACGGGAAAACAGGCTCTGAAATAAATATGAAGTACATAAAAGAAGAGAAGGAAAGATCTTACATTTTTCTTAGATTTCAGCATTAAGACGTCATGAGATACCATCCATTCCAACGAGTCTCGAACGTACTCATCAAGGGTGGCAACTGACATTTGCTGAAAAATTAATAAAATCAAATGTACTGTAGCAACAGAGTCCAGAATAAATAGTCGAATTTCAGAAGTACACAGTGTCCATTAAAAAAAAAGTACTTTACAGTTGATTTTCATCATTTTTGTCAATTTTAGGAGCTTACCCCCCCCCCCCCCCCTCCCCCCCTTTTGGCCAGTTTATACTGAAAACGTGAAAAATAGGTGTTTGCCAGAAATGGGCAGGTAGCCGAAAAACTATTAAATTTCCGAAAATTCTGTGAATGCAAAGATTTCAATCTAGGACTGTTTTACATCCTCCAAAGTTTTCAAAGTGATCGGAAATTTGACAGCCACTCCCAATTCCTCTGGAAATGGTCAAAAATGGCTGAAAATCAAATGAAAAATACATTTTTGTATATATCTCGGTACTGTACATCCGGAGGGTCCTTCAGTTAGAGGGGGCATTTCTATTTTTTAGGCAAATTTTTCCATTAATTGTGATTTCAATAACCGGTAAATTCTCGTTCAAAATTCATAAAAATCTGCCATTTTCACTAAAACTGTGCATTTTTTTTGAGCAAAAAAGTGTTCTAACCGACTTCTGAAAAACTGTGGAATTTCCGGAATATTTTTAACCGGAAAAATACATATCTGTTCAATTCCTAACAACACATTTTAAGGGGGCCCTTCTAATACAGGTTTTACGGTAGTCGATTTTCAGAAATATAGATTCCTTAAAAATTTATTTCGTCTACCTGTCTCAATGCTTGCAAAATCAATGCCGAAGATCGAGCCGATGGATGTCCTCCAATCAAATTCACCAATTTCTTATCATCTATTTCTCGTAGAAGACAATGAACAGTTCTGAAAGCAATCGGAACTGCTTCTAATTTTTTTAAAATAAAAACTTACACATCCTCACTTCTGCTCCTTGCTCTAGGATCCGGTGGAGTTTCTTCGATATCTTCCAGTTCTGATCCACTTCCTTCAAAATGCATTTTTAGATCAATTTTTGTATACAATCCTTACTTTTTGGACATGCTATCGTAGTAGTTGGACGTTGTTTTGAAGGTGGTTTTCTTGCCGTTGGAGGCTTCATTTCACAACTGAAACGGAAACGTTTATGAGAAAAAACATGTAGACAAAAAGTCGAGGAAAAAGAGAGATGCTCAATAGAGGACAATTAATTATAGATAAGCTTGAAAAATGCAAGAAAGAACACTATTGTCTTTTGTTCTGCTACTTTTTTATGTTTTCTTCTTTTTTTCGTTTTTCTTGAATTCCCATGGAAAAAAGTAATAAGTCGAAAATGTAAGAGAAGAATGAAATGAATAAAAATACGGGCGGCTCTCAAAAACGAAAGTAAACGATTGTGTGAAAAACGGAAACCTACGGAGCAATTATAGCTCCAAAAACTTGTCGTCGCCGGCAAGCAGCTCACGAGAGTAAAAAAATTGGAGAAAGACACCTTTGACAGGTGTTTTGAAATCTCATGTGAGGAAAAAAATGCAAGAAGAAGAAGTTGATAAGGGAGATGTTGAAGGATTCAAAAAAGTATTTTCCGGTTAATTAGAGCCAAGACAGAAGAGAGATATGGATGCAAAAAATGTTCAATGAAGTGTGACTGAAAGATTCAAAGGACAACAATTTTAGTCTAGAAGAATTTCTCTGAAAATACAATTAATGCATTAGATAGAGAAAAAGTGTAGCGGATCAAGTACACGATTCTGAACTTATTATACTTGCAAAAGGAATATTGGTTCCTGACGTAAGTGTGAGAAAGTGCAAAACACCGAGCCTTAATACAAACATGTAGTTTCAGGTTAGACATCACAAGAGCACAAGGAATATGCAGAATGGAACTAAACCTTAAGATCTTATTTATGAGATAAAACATGAGAAGATTTAAAACTTCACAGAATGATAGGAAAAAATAATCTAACATGTTTGGAATAAGGCAGCAGAAAATTGTTTTCCCGAAACCCTGAATCATTTTTGCTCTAACCTTGATAAAAAATATAGTTGATTTTCTTAATTTTAACAATAAACCAGCTAGCTGGTGCGCCTTCGGCGAGATTTAGTCTAGTTTTACTGGTTGGTAGCTCCGCTCCTCACTTTTTCTTGAAGTGTAGCGTATTAATTTTTCTGGTACAAAAATGGTAGCTGTGGAAGACCGAATGTCCCTCACCGACCACTACAGTAACCTAAAAATCATAGTTTTTCCGTATTTACTGTTTTAGTTTTTCATTGCTTTCCATCGATTTTATTTATCGTAAAACCTGTAATAGAAGTGCCACACACTGTCATGTTTGAGCTAATTTATCTCGGTTCCTGTAAAAGATATCAAAAATGTGTCAACTGATAAAATGTTTGGTACATTATGATAAACAAGTCATCGGTTGACAACATTTTTATATCTCTGATAAGAACCGAGATGAAAATGAAAATTTTTAGGTTACGGTAGTTGTCGTTGTAGGACCTCCCGCCGGTGCTTTTCTTCCATATCGCCGATTTTTTGTACTAAAATAATTACAAAACGGCACAAGAACTCAACTAGTTCATAAAAGTGAAATTGAAACCAGAGAAGTTGACTTCCAGAAAAAAAAATCTATAATAAATCAAACAATCTCGGTAAAAAGTCGCAGCAGATGTGCACTCCACTTACATCTCTTGCGTAAATGCTGCACATCTTCCGCAGTTTCAAGCCAAAAATGTACACTCGGTAAAAAGTCGCAGCAGATGTACATCAATTTAGGCGATCGCAACAGATGTGCAGC